GGGGGGGGTGATTTTTCCTTAGAAGATAACGTTAGCGATCAATCACAGCAGTTATTGACTTTTTAACTTTTTTAGTTTAGTCTGAAATCTAATATTTTCTGTTGACTGAGTTTTGATTTTATATAATATAAGATTTCTATACTGAATTAAGTATTGCTGTTGTATTTAAACAGTTTTAAAGAAGAGACTGCCCAGTAATGCACCGTTTGAATTTCGAAGAGGTAGAAATTTAATCTATGAATCACACAGCAGGATGTGGTTCGTGGAAATTGTTTTGTAGCATCAAAAGTGTCTGCCCAGACAGCTTTTTAAAAGGATTCAAAATATGCACCCTCACTGAAACTTAAATAGGCAGGTGAAAATAAGGCCAAAGGAAGTGGCACCAGTACTATGAGAATTACAGTGCAGCCTCGTACCAAATTGTACTCATCATTTCCACACAGTATCACTTGAAAGATTTTCACAGGAAGTCTCAGACCGTAGTAAGATGGGGGATGGTTAAACTGGTCATGTGACATAGTTTAGGAGTCTTGGAGGAAACAAGGGGGTGGGGGACAGATGAGAGCTCTGTCACAGATTTCCACTACCAGCAACAAGCAGCACTTGAGCTTCTTCAGCTCTGTGGATGGTTTATTTACGGGGGGAATGTTGCACAATGCGCTGCATAACACTCAAGGTAGGCTTCCTGTGTTTTCATCCGATCCGTTACAGATGTCTGAGTTTGATGTTAAGACTAAAGCAACATTTGTTGTCCTATTGTCCTATTTCTTGAGGTCTTTGCATTGGAGCAGTTTTACTTCTTAGATTGCATTCATTCAGCAGGCCTGTAACCACACAGCTCATCTTATCTGTTTGAGAGTAATCACTTCACTTGCATGACAAACAGAGATCTGTCACATAACTTTAATGATTTAACCTCTCTCCAAGGTAAGTCCTCTTACGGGCTGTATTTGTTTCATATGAGATGACCCAGACTGCCAGTGCCAGTTAAGACCTGGGAACTGTAACTGCATCGCTACTAAATCTAGCTGTTACCTGATTTGCTCTAATTACGTGCATATCTTTTCCATAACACGCCACTCGTAAACCTTACGTTTGAACACCATTAGCATTTTTCTACACCATAATGCTTTTTGGACAGTCTTATAGTTCTTTGCAAAACAGTCATGCACTTTTTATCACGAACTGAGGGCTGAATAATCAGAATCAAAATCAGGAGAAGCCACACTTGCAAATACAGTATTATTTAAACAATGGCATGTTTGCTCAGCATGCATGCCCTGCACAGCACAGCGACAGCACGCTCATTCACTCATTCTGCTACAGAGAAAAACATCTGGGAAATGCTCTGCTGATCAAGAGAACTTTCAGCAAAACTGCAAATGTCTGATAAGACCTTTTTTTCCTGACAAAAGCACAATGTAGGACATCACTGCTTTTGTCTGTGCTGCCATTGTTATGGCCGTACTAAATAAAGTGCCTTGAGCATTTTAAATGAGGACTTGTTATATTTGTGTGACAAATGCAACTAATGATCAGCGGTAAAATTTAATTTAATGGGGTTTTTTTTTTGCAGTAAAGACAGAGGAATCAGCAATGGAAAAAGTCGGTCCAACAACAACAAAGACGAGTAGGTAGAGATGGTAGATGCTTTTATTTTTGTACTAATTCATCTTAAAAAAATCCTGCTGTGGACTAATGTGATGATTTTGTTTTGCAGATGATAAACCAGAGCCTAAAGACCTAAGAAGCAATCCTCCAACCAAAGTTAAACTTCCACCCATCATCAAACCCATCCCACCTCCAGTCAAAGACAAGCCGAACAAGGTTTTACCAAAGTGAGTTTTACAGAAGCGTCTGTGATGTTCTTTCTCACTACTTGTAACTCCATGTGAAACCACTTTCTGGAGACCTGACCAGAATAGTTATTCATATGCAGCCTTTCTAAAGCAAATAGGCCCTCAGAAAATGTCAGGAACACTTTCTCCTCTCTGGTCTGGCACCAACAGTGGAGCATTTAGATGTTAAAGGTTTTTGGTTGCAACCACCAGTTGCTATGGTTTCCTTAAAGAAGAATGCCAGGATGCCTGACATTTAGTGGCTCAGTGGAAATTGTGGGATGAGTCAGATCAGGCCGAAACAGACGAGAGCAGCCCATTTCCTGTTTCCTGAGCAATCGCTCACAAACAGCCTTACACACACAAAATTGAGAAAACAAAAACAGGCCCGTCTTGAGAAGAAGAACACGCTTTTGAAAAGCGTTTCCGTGCAAATTTGCCTTTTTCAGCTTTTTTAAGACTCCTCCTTCATGTTTATCTAAGCTAATCCCACAAGGCTTTTACAGCCAGGCTGATTTTTCAACAAACACATCAGTTATAACCAGCATTTAAAATGTTATAAAACTTAAGTAGTAACTCTGAATACAGAGAATATTATAGTGATTTTTCAAGACTTCATTTGCCATGCTCTGCACCTGCACCTGCACTAGCACCAGCGCCCACTCTATTCAGGAAACCAGAAACCACATACAAACTCTCCAACCCTCTGCGTCAGTATTTCTTCACATCAATAGATTTCTTTTTTTATTTGTCTGTAATTTTAAAAAAAGTGTTCATTCGAAGGTATATTGTTGTTTTCTGTAGAACCAATGGTGATGCGGCTACTGTTCCACCGAAACAACCAGAGGAGAAGGAGACTGACGAGTTTGATGGATTGGAACTGCCGACTGAAAAGCTGAGCCATCCCACAGCAAACAGAGCCAAACCTCCACAGAGGAGACCACCGTCAGGACTCCCCATAGCAGCACAAGTATGTCCGCATTAGCGACCAATACCGATCGATCTGTGTGGCAGTGTGTATAACACAGATGTGAAGAGCTTCACAAGAAACACTCAAATTATAACCTGCATACCCACATGAGTAGGGTTGTCAAAACAAGTCATTCTCAATACTAAAAACGACTGTCAGATAAGATACTCATTTGCAACAGGATTGATGCGGACAGCGTCGTCTTTGCTTCCTTCTGCCGACACACAACTTTTACACAGTACCTGCATGCAGGCGTCCACACAGGCCCTCCCCTTACCAGCAGCTGAAGCAGTTGACATTTACAAGACTACAAGAATAAACACCTGGAGGAATTTTGAGAAGTCAAAAAAGCTTCCATTTTAACAACCCGAACATGGATATTATTGTTGCTCTTGTTCTAATCTTCATTCTTGTTTTGGGGGTTTGAGGGTTTTTTTTTGCTCCTGTGGCATCAAAAATGGTATTGGGTATCAAGTATTTTTCTGGGTATTGATACAGTGTTAACCAATATTTCTGCAGATGAATCAAAGGTTTATCAGTTTTCTGTTTAATTTTGTGCAGTCAGTTAAAGCACAGTTGCTTGAAACAGTCCTTAATAGTTTTAGTGATTCTTATAAATATTGTGTCCATGTTGGGATTAGAACCATTTTTAGCAATAATATACCATAAGCCCATAATACTACTACTACTACTACTAATAATAATAATGTTATTAATTTTGTGCCTCTGCAGTTCACACTTGTGTTGTTGTTATGTTTTGAGACCATCTTCACTCCTGAAGCCCTGAACCTTTATAGACAGTACCCCATGGAGTTGTACATGGGAATGCTAATGATATCTGATATCATTTGAGAGTACAATAAACAGTCTTTACTCTGCCACCTCCCTGGTTTAAAGTCCATGCTGTGTCCGGTTGCACTGATTTGTGCAGTTGTGACTTTAGGGCAGCTAACTGTTATTCCATTCATGTATTTTGGTTCATGCTCTGCATATTGAGAGTTTCTGAAAGGGACCATCTCCTAATGTATGCTACACATGGTCCCAATCAGATTCTTCCGACGCTGTCAGAAGACAATTTTACAGAAAAGTGACCAGTTTTTATGGACAGCCCTCTTGCTCACTGACCAAGAAGACTTGTAATGACTTCTTGGTCATAACAATTCATCTGGAAAAAATGAAAGAATTAGAAGAAAGAGAAAGCGAGCTTGTACTTGACCGCCCAAAAAACCCACCTAGCTGTTAATCCTGCAAAGCTGAAAAACCAGAAATCCTAAGGCATGCTGTGAAGAATGACTATTAGCAATGATTGACATTTAAACTTGACTGTTCTTCCTTTGTACTGCTAGAGCGCCACGGACCAGACAGATGCAGAACCAAAAAAGTTTGAAACGGAGATACTGGCTGGCTTGCAAAAGGTTTGTAACACTCTGTGTTCTGGGTGAAATATGAATGAAATCACATAAGTTTGAGTTCAAAAAGTTGTTCTATGTAGGAAAATGTGCAGTAATATTTTTGACAATTAAAATCATTTCAGACAACAGAAAATCTTCTGCCCACCCCTCCAAAGCCCGATCTTCGACCCAAGACACCACCTCCAGTTCGACCAGCACCACCCAAAGTTCTCGTAGATAACAAAACTGTGACCTTTAAAGACGAGCCAACTGTGGAAAGTCTGCAGGCTGAGATCAAAGAGCTCAGGATGACTTTGGAGCTGCTTGAGAAACGACAGGAGTGAGTACAACTCACTTGTTTTGTAGCCATGTTTGAAACCTGAGACATGACAGGTTTATGACAGGCCTAAAGTTACTTTACAAAATTAAGACAATTTTGTAAAAAAAAGATCTTCATTACATTTCAGCTAACCCTCTTCTAAAATAAAAAAAGAAAGATGCCTTGTAGCACAAACATACACAGGAAGTGAGTAATTCAAACCTAGCAGAGAAATACAAATGAATGTAACTGTGCATGTTCCATCATAGGAAACCCCCCCTCCCTTCCAAACAAAAAAAGCCTGACTCAACAGCTCTTTTGTATCTCTTGATCTGAAACGTTATAGCAGCCTGAGTGATAAACATGTGCCACACTCTGCAGAGCTGTAGACATTTCATTTCCTGATCAGTGATCTTCTTAAGCCTTTTGAACTCACCAACCATCAGTTTGAAACTCAAATTACTGTTGTTCCCTAGTCAGTAGCTGAACGTTTTGCATTATACCAGTAAAACCTTTGACAGTATATATGTTAATTACAGGCAAATACACAAATCCTAATGGGATGTGTGTGAAGACTTCTGTAACTGTATCTCAAGCCGTGTTTGTGTAATCAGTTTTCTAAACGTATAAAAAGATTTTCTAAATGCAACTGATATTTGTGAATGTGTATTCAAGATCAGTGTGTGCATAATGCATGCATAGGTCTGTAAATGCCTACACAGTTATTAATAGATGCAGCTAAACATTTTGATCCAGCAGCTTCCTGCTTGGCTGCTATGGTAGACCTACAAAGGCATGTGGCGATCTGTCTGTAAATCTGAGGTGTTGTCTGCTCTGAGCTCAGACTCACAAGCTCAAACATACCACCGACTATAACACCTGGTGATTTCAAGTATAAAACTGCTGAATGGGGCGGGTCATGGCTGTGGCTGCAGTTGCAAGCTTGACTATAATGAAATCTTAAACTGATTTAGGTTTAACACCTCCGTGTGTTTTCAGAAAGTATAGCGAGTGATAGTTTGTAAAAATATAACAGAAGTCCTTTATTGCTGAGACGTATGTGTGTAAAAACTCGAGTTAGTCATTAACCTGTGCAGTTTGGATCATCAAACAGGCGTTTTTTTTTAGCGAATAAATGTTTTTATTTATTTATTTATTTACCCATTTTAAACAATCCCTGTATGTATTCATTATTTTTGTGGCGTATGGAAGATTGCAATGGGTTTGTGTAGTGTAACCCCAATTTCTCCCAAGGGAGACAAAAAAGAGACTTTCACTTAGACAGCTGCATCTACAAAAACAAACATTTTAAAACATTTGCATATCTGAGTACCAGATTTTGAGGTTTGTGAGTTGTTGTTTTTTTTTTTTAACATAAATTGCACCCACACCAATATAGCATATCTGCAAAAACCTATATTACCATAATAGTTCAATAAAATTAAACTATTGAAATAAATGTCTTTCCTGTTAGAGCTACAGAAGTAACTTTCTAAATGTATTATTATCTTGACTGGCACTGCACAGTGTTGTTGACCTATTTAGACTTACCAGCATCTCCAACCTCCTCATTTTGTTCTCTTTGTCTCTTTTTATAAGGCGAGACATGCAGGAAGTGAAAGAAGAACTGAGGGATGAAAGAAACAAAAGACTAGCATTGCAGGTCAGTGTCTTGACTTCTGTGAGTGTTATTACTTACTGCCTGCTGCATAATGGGTGAAAAAATAAGCAGCAGTTGTGGTTCCAAGATCACGAGCGCAGTATAATCAGTTGTTTAAAAGGGTTCTTTTTATTGTTGTTTCTTACAGGAGGAAGTGCAGAGTTTGAGAATGAAGCAATAATCCCAACACAGACTGGGACTAAGCTGCTTGTCTGACACTGTGCCATGCGAGCTCTTGGACTGCAAATTTCAGAAAATGAAAATTTTTTTCTGACATTGAGAAAGTAAAACAAACAACAAAAAAAACCCTCCCTAAACAGTATAGCTGGAGTTAATATCAAGCTACTCCTATAATGGAGCAAAAGAACCAGATCCTCCAGAAGACTTTTAAGTAACATGCTGTTTGATATTGGAATGCCAGAAATCTCATACAGGTCCTCAGTTGGGTACGCCTGGAAGCAAATTACTGTTTTACATGTTTTCTTTTTTATTACTTTTATTGTGGATTACAGGTTAGGCTATTTTTAATATCAGAATTTGTAATATATGCAGCTGTACATAGGAGGAAATATTGTTAAGTCTTTTACAAAGAGCTAAAGGATAATTTACATCATCATAATGGGCTTTGTTACCTGAATGTCAAGTGAGATACTACTGTCCAAACTATGCCATGTTAGTGAATTTATGCAATGTTGCAAAGATCCACTAGGGGGCCGTATTTGACTTTTTTTTTTTTTTTTACATAAGGTGTTAAGTTTTTCTGTGATTGCTGGGATTTATGGAAATGCCCTGGCAAAATAACCTCACATTGGAGAAGGAAAAATAGAAGAAAGAAATACATTCTTCATCCAAACAGTAACTGTGTTAACATTTAAGATTTAAGCGAGTGGCTCATGTTAATGGATAGTGCCTTAAGAGGGGGAAAAAAGGAAAAGAAAAGAAATAAAACTGTGATTTAATGCACCAGGAGTTTGTGGTCAGTTTGTGTCGGAGAAACACTGACTCACTCTTAAAACACCAAAAGGTGACTCATCAGTGGATGCAGAACACATGGGAGGAAAATTATTGAGAAATTATTACACCCATCGCAGGAACAGCTTTGGACAATGCAGTCTTCACAACATGCTTATGGTAGTGTCTCTGTGAAGAACATATATGAACAATACCTGGAGCTATTTAGGAATCAAGCTCTGAAACTCTCGTGGAAACAAAAAAATATTGTTAATTAATCATGCCCATTATTGATGTGTTCCTTTATGGACAAACAGTAAAACAAAGAGTCTGCTGACAGTGCAGAAACCTTTCATAGGATATCTAAAAACAATAATGTCCTCTCTGTGAAGAACTGCATGTGATTTAAATGTTTATACAAGGTAAGTTCTTCTTACACCAGAGATACACCAATAAAGTGGAATATCTGCACAGATACTTTATTCCTCCGTCTTAGATGGTAAACTCAGCACAGTGTACAGTAACACTGGTGGAATTTAAACTCTGTAGAGAGCACTGAAAATGGAGTAGTGAAAAAGTTATCAGAGCCCAGAGGTCACACACACAAAAAAAATTCCCAAGTTAAATTTAGAAATAATGAAAGATGTTGACAAAGAAAGCGAGACAGATGCTGAAACAAATCTGGATTTGTACAGCTTGTACAGATTTGTGATCTAAGCTTAAAAGGAACATTGTATTCTGATTCTCGGCTCAGCTATTTTTTACTTTAGAACCGTGAAGCTTTGCACAATTAAAAAGCACATCATTTCATAATGCCTGCTCTATAGCCCCTTAGTTGAGCCATCGCCTGAAACAGCAGTAACATTAGCTCCAGTAAGTGTCTTTAAACATCCCCTCCTCCCTAGAAGCCCACTTCCTACTGAGTGTCCAGCTTCCAGAAGCCAAGTAAAGGGCAGCTCAGTGCTTATGAGCACCACCTCCCCCTCTCGAAGACCAAACTGTAAACCTATTATCATATTTTTCCTCATTGTTTAATCGTAAATTAAAGACGTCACCTTTAATGAGGTATCCATACAGATATATTTTCTTATTGTTTAAACTTTGAAGTCAAATAAGTTCAGTTATGGCTTTGGTTACTAGATTTCAATCATGTTGATGTTGACTTAACTTTACCTATGTAAAAAATACACATATATATGTTGGATCTAATTGCCCTAAGCAAAATGAAAATGACACTGTTCACAATATTTAGTCGTGACTCTAGTAAAAGATATTTTTTGGACTCTTAAAAGGACTGCACACAATCAAAGCTACTAATTTCTCTAAGCCACTGACCACAGGAGAACCTTTTCCAAGACCTCAACACAGAAGATGCTATCAGAAATCGGAGACCCGAAGGCAAACCTGAGCCCTATCTGGTCCTGCAGCACAAGGACCAGACCGGCTTCAGGGTGCCCAAAAAAAGGAATATTATTGCCTTACAATGATGTGTATTTTAGTGCATACTAACCCTCTCTATGGATTTACAGATGTGTCAAGAATTCATGCTAACATTTATTGTAAATCACCAAACCGCTGAAGGGTGACTTGTGATAATATTCAACACAAACACACCACCAGTGTGGACAATTCATCAATGTTCTGTAAGTCTTTACTGGCAACCAAACATTGTTCCAAGCTATAAACTCACATGGAACAGATTTATTACACTAATACACAGAGTTGATATTGGACATCTAAGCTCTGAAATTCAGAGCAGCTGAGCTGTGGGAGTGATGATAGCACGTCTCTGAAGACCACATTAGAAACAGAGTCTGACTTTAGTCATTATGTGAAGCGTTTGGGGCCATTACCCTGCACGAGACCACAGATGGAATTAGGCTGCCAAGTAAGCACCTTGTGTGCATGAGCCATGCTAATGGCCTCTGTGGTCAGCTCTAAACAAAACACCTCCAACATACAACCTAGTCCAGAGAAACTGGGCAATGAGTGCAGCAGAAGGTTGCAAGCGTCATCGTTGGATTAAATTCAATTTCATTTTCACTAATAACTGGCTAATAACTACATCCAAGTTTACAGCAGTGACCCAGACTTGGAGGGAGCTATGGGAGACCCTCTCCACCACAGGAGGCATCCAAAACCAATTCATCCATTAACACTGCCATTATTTTTCTCTAAATCTGAATCAAAAGCACGAAAAAAAAAAATCATAATGGGCATATGAAACAGTAAAAGCACCAAGAAAGACAACCATGAGGTCAACAGAATAAGAGAAGAGGTTAGCAGGTTAGCATTGTAGTAGAAAGTAAATTAGGATTGGGTTGCAGGAGAAGAAATTAGCCACGAGCATATAAAAGGTTATCAACCAAAAAATGAGCAGTTTTAGCAGATATTATCAGGCAGCTCCGAAAAAACAGACAAGCAATCAAAAACAAAAAAAACAAAACAAAAAAAAAATGCAGGTGAACAGCCTAACAGCTCAGTGCTGCACTAACAAGCTAGCATGTTCACGCAACATCCTAATGCCCATCTTACATATATGGAATAATTTGAAGTTAAACGTGTAAAACCAACAGGTCACATAAGTTGAAAAGATTCATGTTCCAGAGACGCTGAACATGTCAGACAAATCTTAGCACTAGAGGTCTGTGGTGTAGACCACAGAGTTCATGGAACCTGGCCAAGAGCCTTATTCCAACCCTGCTTCAGCTTCGACTGCAAAGGCAGTGGCAACAGGTAGCAGAGTTAGCATGTATTAGACTAAAAAGCTAGCAGGCTACTTAGCTTTGTGGAGGGAAACATTAGCTGTTGTAGTTTCCGGATGTCAGCGGATGAAAGAAAACTGTGTTAAAGTGGCCAAGAGCCAAACTGAATAGTTGTATCAAGAACAAATGTGCATCAAGCACAAATGTGAGAAACCTTTCTCCTGTTATAAATTATACTTTGCTCTTTCTTTCTTTCTTTCTTTCTTTCTTTCTGAGTCACTCCCTTTACAGATCAGATTAAAACAGGCTGTAAAAAGCAGCAAACATCACAAGATCGTTTGTGACAAAATTCTTTTATTTTCACACTGTATTTGTTTAAATTTGAGAAATTGAGAAATAAAAGTGGCAAAAGTGATCTTTCTCCATCTTTATTATTATTATTATTGAAAATATATTTATGGCCCAAAGGTGTAGTGATTCTTGTTATGTTTTTCTGACATTTTGACATGTTTGCTTATTTTATTTATTTATTTATTTATTTATTTATTTATTTTTTATTTTTTATTTTTTTTTACATGATTAGATCTATTAGATTTGTACACACTGATCAGCCACAGCATTAATATATCAATAGCACTGGATATCATGTTGCAATACTAATGTTCTTCCTGAAAAACTTTGAGGTCTGGATTTTATTTTAAAATTCAGTACCTGTTCCTCCCATCCCAGTAAGCCTTACAAACGTGGTATTTATTCTTCCACATTTCAGAGCTGTTTTAGCAGTGCAGGAAGAACATCAACAATTAGATAGAGTTTCATTTTGAAGCTGATCAGTATATACCTTTGGACTTCAGTATCTGATGTTGTTGAATACACGTATATATGCTCATGAAGTGCTTTGATTTATCCTGCAAATTCATTATCCTATAATGTGAGAATTGTTAGTGGAAATAGTCTTTGTTTAAACAAACAGTTCTTTTTTACTTATTGACACTTTCATTTTTCATTTATTACATACACAAATCTACTTTTCATTTCTGTAATTAAGCACCAAGTTTAATAGACTGATTACTTCAAGTGTCCCATCATTCCCCACATTCACTCCACATCTCTTCCATATGAATTATTCAGTCCTTGAGACCTCCATTGGTTTGGTTAATCAGTCAGATTTATCAATGCTACATAAGAAGTGCAATATCTCAGTCTGCTCTGTCAGAGCTAAGTATGTCAAATATGACTAATATCCAGTCACTTTGTATCTAACGCAGGCTTTCGGGCTTGAGGGACACCAGGCCCACCGAAAAGTCTATGTCTCATTTCCTCAGGGCTCACTTTCCTTAGCCTCATGTTTCTTAGTAGTAATGCACTCTTCCAATAGTTCCCGTTCCTGTCCCCAGGATATCTGGCTGGCCGTTCCTCCAGATCTCTCGGATGATGCGTTCCCTCTCCTCCAGTCGCTGTGCACGCTCCAGCTCTTCGGCTGAAGTAAACACATTCACGCTCAGTGTCCCATCCGACTGGCTGGTGTGATTGCCAACAGAGATTTCTGTGGTGGGCAACGGAACAGTCGCCTCTACATCGTCCACTTCTTCATCTTCATCATCGTCATCACTGTCCTCATCCTCCTCGTTGATGTCCTTTAAGTTTTTTTTCTCAGGAGTGGAGGGGGTAATGGTAGTGCGTGGCTTGCAGGAGATCCGAATCACCAGTAGGCAGAGTGTGAGTATCAAGCCAAAACACACTCCAAGCACAAAGTAAAGGCCAAAACTCTCTGGATTTGCTAAAGAAGGGACAAAAACAAACTGCATTAGATACAGTTAAATGTTGTTAAAAAATGAGAGGCAAATTCACACTGTGGCTTACCTTTGATGTGTGCATAGGCAGCAATGCTGTTACTTAGGAGGTCCATTTCCTTTTTCTTCACATCCATGGTGACTCGGTTTTCTTCTTTTACACCTGTAGCAGACATTTGACACACAATATTTAATCTGACTGCTATAAGATACAAGACACTTAATCAATCAGTTCTCTTCCAGGTGCCTAAAGTCGCTTTTGAAATATCTGCCAGACTTCTTTTCCTCCAGGTTTATATTCTGTGCAGTGCCGGGATGTCAAACCCACTGACCACAACATTCTTCATATGCCTGGTGGGTGGGATGAGGCCTTCGAGTCCCCAACAAAAGCTCCTTTGTGTCACTATTAACTACTAGCTTGATGTGAGATCATCATAATGCATTTGGCACATGGCACTTTGCCTCAGCCATTCTCTCTGAACCATGACAACCCTATATAAATGAGGTCAAGAGTCAATTTCCCAAGTAGCCACAACGGGCTCCTTCGTGTCAGATGGGACTGTCAGATCGATTTGTAAAGCTCAGAGGAAGCAGCCAGTGCACGGTTGACATTTTTCTAATGTTTAGCCATTGTTTCCTTGACATTTAAGCTGCCTTATCCTCCCATATCATGTCAGTCAAATGAACTTTGTTGTGCTTCTTCCGCTGCTATGTGCAGCCATAACTTCTGTCACTACCCAAGGATGGCATCATAGAGCTGCACCAAGTTACATAAAAGAGTGCTGGTGACAACAGAAGAAAGACCAGTTCAGAATAACACACATACACACGTTAGCACCATCCCTCTTTAGAATGTGCTTTGTGTTGTGGCTGACTGTGGAAAAAAAACCCATTCTGTTCACGAGATATGATGACGAGCGCTGCAACCATCTCACTCTAACCTGTGTGCGCTCTTCTCTAAGTTAAACCACATGTCACTGTGCCTATAGAGATCATATGGACTCGTTCATATTGCACAAACCACATGTTTATGTTTCCATTTACCTCTAAATTGCACCCAGTGATAATCTCAATGTCTGATCTCTATCATGATGTGACTACCTCAATAATTTATTTAGCATGTGTGCTTACTTGTTGATGGAACTTTTAGTAAAATTCAAGCATGAAACCACACATGTGTAAACCATATGTAATATGGCCCACTAATGAACTTTAAAACACAGCAAACATTCTCTTGTAAAAGTAGAAGTAAACAGAAAGGGGAGTGCAGATAAAGTATAAAACTTACCACAAAAATGAAACTATGGAGCTTCAGTTCCAGTTCATATTGTTCTGAGAAGTTGGAGAACAGATGAAAAATTATCACGCTCCTCTTTTCTCTCTGCTGTTGGATCACGGCTTGTGATCTTTGGTCTTCAGGCTAAATAGTTGATTTGGCCACCCTGAAAAAAAGAGCAAATACACACACAGACACGTCAAGCTATGTTAGAGCCAAACTCAGTGAGGCGTCTGCAATGCAAACAAAGACAGACCTATTGCAGGTTACGTGGTCCAGCAGGAGACCAGAGGCAGACTTTTTGCATTTTTTAGTGCTTAAGTTGTTCCAACATAGAAAAAAAAAAACACAGGTATGGCCAAGTTGTGCATATTAGTGTCATAAAAGCAACCTGAAAAGTAACTTTTTTTTTTTTTTTTGCTAAAAGAAAAAGTACATTTTTTTTTTATGTCTTTAAATACATTTGATTAGATCTTGGGAACTAAATTATTTTGTGATATGAACTTAGTGGGACTTTGTTCTATGACTTGAAGATACTCCACATTTAGACTTTTATGCATAGAAAGCTGGGAACAACATCAGATCCAATTACAAAGATACTAGCAAAATGAGTACTGACAGCTAAAAAATCCCCAAAAACATAGGGTCCCCTTCTGGCTCTGTAGGGAAAAAACACCTATTAGATGTAAAGCTGTCATCAATAGCAAAATACAAGTGAGGTGTTTCCACTCTCCAGCCTCAGGGACCTGTAATGCTGCTCTCTCATTGCAGCATTGTGCAAGGATGACAAAACAGAACATTTTGAACTTTGAACAAGTGACACGAACTTGAGATTTTTCTTTTTGTTTCTAGCACCTTGAACAATAACAATCAATTTTCTATACTTACTAAAAGCCCTATAACATCCTGGGGGTTTTGCGGTTTACATGCCAGGTGCAGAGCTGAGCGCTGTGAAAATGCTGAGCTGTGGAGTTTTTTGACTTGCACCCCTGTTTAGGAAAAAAGATCCTCTGCCAGCAGCAGTTGGTTTAGCAGAGCCTCTGAGCTTTCCAGGGCAGATTTTGATCTTGCTGACTCTTGGCAGATCCTATGCACTCTACACAGTGCCTAACTGAAACAGCACTTGGGGGGGCCAAGTGACAGAGCGGCCGCTGTGGGAGCATGCTTTCCAGGCTGACCACCTTGAGCCGTACAGGAGGCAGCTGCTCCACGATGCAGTGATAGACCCGTGCACTGTCTTCCAAACAAGCTTCCTCTCTTTATAAAAAGTATAAAAAGTAGATAAACAAATAATGAACAGATTTATTTCCGATCTCCTGCTGAGGCGAATCCCACTGGATGATAGAATCCACATAATGGAATCTATCATCATTATCCAAGCCGAGCAGAAAAGCACAGACTTTAAATGAAATATTTTGTTTTTGTCCCAGGGGTAATAAAGTAAACGGCTCGGATGACTACAGTCTTTTTAAGCCAAGGTCAAAGCTAATGATTGGATACCTAAAGAACATTAACTGACCTCTACTCACACCGCTATGCAGCAAAACAGAGCTTTAGGATCTTGGCATTTGTTACTGGTGGCTAATGATAACTGGAGAGCTGTTTAAAACCTATTTAAACACTAATTATCCTGGCTTGTTGTTTTGTTGTGTGTTTGTTTTAGTCAAACAAGGAAATTATTAACAGACCTGCTCCTCTGCAGCAGCATGCACTGTATCATGACTCAGTTCTCAGTCATGTTCTCAAAGTGACCCAATCTGTTTTTCTTTTGCAGGTTTTGCACAACCCGAAAGCTTTAAAAAGGAGACCTTCATTATAAGAAAACAGTCATGCTTTGGGGATTTGATGTATCATTTCTTTCCATCATGTTTTACTCAAACAGTTGTTAAGTTTTTAGCTGCCTGGAAAATATTGTGACCTTACTCATCTGGTTCGAGGTGCAGAAAGAGGCATTTCTTTTGAAATTCTGCCTTTTTTGGCCCTGTTAAGGTAAAAAAAAAAAAGGCAGAATTTCTGAGGGTCTCATACCCTCAGGTCAAAGACTTAGGCTCACCCCGTCTGAGGTCTTCTTCATGTCTCTGAATATTAAATAATCACTCAAATCATCATCCTGACATTATTTTCTTTTTTTTCTGTGCGAAACACACAGTCTATATTTTATGTCCTGTTATATCAAAACAACTATTATTCCAGTAACAAATGGAAAGGGCATCAACTAAATTACCATTCATCTCTGTGCATGTGTGTGTGTGTCACTCAGCAATGAGCTGTTTGTGTCAGATCACTGCAGAAGCCAAGATAAACACATCGTGACGTTGTGGCCTGAGAAGAGGTCAGGCGCTATTTTTGACCCGGCATTGTTTGCTTTGGTTTAGAAGAAATAGCTGAGTGGAGGACCAGCTACAAAATGTTATGCAGTGTGATATTTTTGCTGTTGTGGTGATAACCACAACTGCTCTTCCTTCCCACAAGGTTTATCCCTTTCCACAGAGGCAACATCCAGGGCAAAGCCTTTCCTCTGCTTCATTGTCTTAGATAAGTAGGTTGAGACAGAATAGACTGGGCTGTTTACTGTACACAGATGTCAGCTGAGCAGTTTATCAGGTGGCTCCTTAGATGGGCAGCTTTCCAAGGCAAAGGTCTGTCACAGAATAGACGCACTTTCCCCCTTGGATAGTTCACCAGTTACAGTAGTTTCATAAACCATCCAACCATATTGCTCCTTTTCCACAATGAAAAAGTCAAAGTTGTAACTCTTCAGTGGAATTTACGCGAGGAGTCAAGCCACATTTGATTTATACACAGAACATGAAAAGGTCAGATTACACAAGGAAGCCTGTCTGTGTTATTTCCGCATTGTAATGACACACACTGAACCACAGAAGAAAATAAATATTTTTAATACCTCCAATTTCTTTGCAGCTGCAATGATTCCTAGCACAACAGACAGTGTGTCTGTGGTTTGCCTGGGATGAAACTTCACAAAATGAAAATGCCCAGATCTACATGCACACACAGACTTTCTCTAGTAGCCAAGATCACAAAAGCTGCTGTTACACAGCAAAGTCTCCAGTGTTAAATTAACACTATTGACAGTGTTATATGTTTAAACGTAACCTAGTCAGTTTTGAAGATTAACAAAGACTAACACTGAGCAGTGCTGATTTTCTAACACTGGAAAATAACTCAAAATGTTAGAAATATTCCAGTGTTAGAAAATCAGCACTGCTCAATGTTAGTCTTTGTTAATCTTCAAAACTGACTAGGTTACTTTTAAACATATAACACTGTCAAAAGTGTTAATTTAACACTCAACAGTGTTGTATTTAACACTCAGAGGTGTGGACCCATATAGACACTCTCCAGTGTTAATTTAACACTGGAGATTTTGCTGTGTAGGATTTATAGCATCCTTTTTTGGTCTTAATTATGCTCTTATTCTGTAGCTGCCGATAGAAAAAAAAAAACTCTAAATGATTCACAACATCAAACAAGCGTATTATTTCCAGCTTTCAGATCTCATTCTGAAACCGTGCAAGTTCCTGTAAAAAGAAAAAAAAAGATTTACTGAATCATAGCTTCGTTTTGGCTCACATGCCAAAGAATGTGAAACTGTATCACAAAAATATCTGCTGGATGTATGTGCACACCATTTATCAGACACCTGTAATCAAGCCAGCGAACCGTCTCCAAGCACTCAAACATAATGGAATTTCAAGTTCTCCGCAAAACAGCAGAAGTGCAGTAGATTACTTTCCACTTGGTAAATAGAAACATTGTCCAAACCAAGATCTCTGTCAACTGTGTCTGTGAAAGCATTCATGGATGTCCACAGGGTGAAGGGTAATTTCTTCTGGAAGTGCCTGTATGTTTTCTTCAGACGGCGGAGGGTTGCACAGGGCTGCATTTCTGGAGAAAGTAAGAGTACATTTCTTCCAAGTTACTCTTGACACCAACATCTTGGATTTCAAGCTATGATTTCTGTCAGTTCTGCTACCCCGTTGTGAAGGCTTGACAGGAAGGTTGTTCCATTTGGAAACAAAAAATTCATAAGGGTAACATCAGGAAAGATGCAGAAACCCAGGCTGAACATGAGCAGACACAGGTTGGAGAGTTTGAGAGTGTTTGATCGAGTGTAGTATTTATCAGCAAAAAACAATCAAATAAAGCCAAATTTTTTGCTAGATAACTTTTAGAAAAATATTGAAAGGACAGAGATATGGTATTCTTTAACCATTAATCCAGCTGAGGGTTGTGGGAGGGCTGGAACCTAGCCTAGCTGTCATGGGGCAAGCGATAAGGTACAAACTGCCAAACTATCACGGGGCTAACATCCAAAGACGGACAATCAGTAATGCTCACAGTCACACCAATTTAGTATAACCAGTTAACTTAACAAGCTTGTCTTTGAACAGTAGAAGGAAGCTGGAATACTGAGGGAAGGTGCACTCCACACAGAGGGGTGTAGCTGGCCAGCAGATCTGAACCACTGCTCTTAAAATGCTTCTTAAAAGCCAAACGGTTAGAAAAATGATCAAACAGTTAATAACTAAATCAAGTATTTTTTTAAATTAATGATATGTTTCTTTCCACCATTTATTTAAACAGAGAGTGGTTAACGTAACTTCTCAGAAAAAGATGTGTTTTAGGAAGAGCTTTAACATGCAAATAAGATAAAAAAAAAAGCTTTTTGGGGCTGACAGTGGAAATGAGAGTTGAAAATATAAAGTATACCTGCTGTCTTGTCCTGGCTCTTTTGTCCATTTAGAATCACACTGCTTACAAAAGCAGATGAAGTTTTCGCTGTTATCACAGACCAGCAGGATTTCAAACTTCCCATGAATTTAAGTGCCTGTGGGGCTTCAAACCACATTTGCAGGTGAAGACTATGAGCATCGTCCAAAGCGAATGAGAGGTCCTCGAGTGCAGGTTGTCTCATTACCTCAAGCTTCCAAGGTCAGCATTTATTTCCAGCCTCAGCTCAAGAAAAGTTTGATGAGCACAGTGAAAGCTTTGTCTGCTGATGACTGAAGATTGTTTTGCCAATATGAACATGAAGACTTTCAGTTTTCAAGAACTACTACAAGAACCCAACCACTCGCAGTAGTTTGACAGAACATGACTAAATCATCGAGAAAAAAAATTACCCATGTAACATTCACGGTTGGTAAAAACAAACAGAATTTCAATCATATTTGACCCCATTCTGAACTACTCACCCTAGCTACAGCCAGCTGCAAAGACAAACAGCATAGCAAATTTAAAAGTCAGGACATGCCCAGCTTTTATTAAGTTTCCTCTTGAGACTCTTAGAGAGTCTTGAATGTCTTGAATATCTTTTAGTGTTGGATACGATGCTGAAAAAGACCTTTGGTTTTTATGCGTTGATGGCTCTGGGCACTGGGTACTGTATTTTACATAAGCCTAATGAACAACAGCTTTTCTTTCAAGGACAAACCCTTTTCCAGGAGTGAACACAAACTCCCGGCAGTATTGTCAGCCAATTATTTTACAACAGATATTTAGCTTTCAACAACAGTTAGGTTAGGAATTCACTGTCCAACGTCATGGCAGTGGTAGACTCAGGGCAAAGCATCTCTTGCCCTGATTAATTCCTTTCCATCTTCATGTCATGAAGAAGTGAACCTCAGTGTACTGCTCGCCCTGTGGAGAATATGTTTTGTGGGTTATGGCAGGTAATGGGAGGGTAATAGAGATGCAGGACTGAGCTTGGGGTTAGAGCAAGTGGTTAATAGCACCCAGATGTGTTCCTGATATGAGGGAGAGAGAGAATGCTTTGCTATGTAAATCAGGGAGAGATTTCCCATGCTCCTTCTTAATACTGACGTCATCAAGGTATAAGTCAAATAGCTGATGGCAGTAGGGAATCCAATTTATGACAACCATTGTGTGTTGTGCTGAAAAGGTTTATTTATATATTCGTGTGTGTACAGTTTTTTCTTATAGGTTGTTTGAGTAATTCCTGGATGTTTAGATCGATTCATTTGAGCATTCCTCTACAATTCCCTAAATTACTTTGGGCTTTAGATCAGCACAAATTGAAATCTCCAAAAATAGAGACATGATCTCATCGTTTTCATTGATCTTGGCCATCATCCAGCAAGCAAGCCAGCACCACATACTGTATCAATTACATGGACCCTACGGATTACTCTGTGACACAAAACACGTGTTTGCCCTTTCCATGATTGGGCCCATACAGCTCACTGTAGGCTATCCACAAATATGTTGCAGTTCCAGTAGATTTGGGGAGTTTCGAAGTGTTGCTCTGGCAGGACTGAGTTTGTGTAGTGAAAGTGAAGGCTGCTTGTATGACTATTTTAGGGGCTGTTGAGGTAGTGGCTCCTACTGACTTCTTTTAGTAACCAGTAGCAATTAGAAAAACAGCACTGTCATCTGTTATGGTTAACTCTTAGATCATGATAGTGTCATATTTTTACAATAGAGATGTGAGGAGGTGCTTAGAGCACAGATCATAGCATAGCTTAAAAATGATAGTTTATAAGATGGCATGGTGCTCTAAAACGAATCCTTTCAATTTTCTGGGTTTATTTACAGCAAGACAAAAATAAAAATGTGACATGGCTTTTGCTGACAGTGCTTTTGTTGTCACTTGAGCTAATTTTATGTGTTCTTGTAGGGTGTAAATATTACTTAACATAATAGCCAAGTTATTGTTGATTGTTATATCTGCAGAATAATGCCTTGAGTTTGGGCCTAAATAACGTTCATTCAGCTCTTGTCATTGTTTCAAACAGCAAATGTACTAAATATTGCAGCCTAAGCAAAAATATGCCCACCACACATTTATGCATGCTCAAGCACATTTTTTCAACGTGTGTCTTTTCCTGCATGCCCCTCTTCTTCCAGTATGTGTGTGTCCAGCTGCAAATATGTCTCAGCATACATGTATCCAAGATAGGAGTGTAAGCTTAGGCAAACCCACTGGACTTAACATGTCAAACATCCACTGAAATCTAAAGACCAGACTGTCTAGGCCAGTGGGGCTCCCGCTAGAAGACAATAAGCCCTGAGTCCTGGAAGGCATCACCGGCTAGTCGAAGCTTTGCTAAACATAGTTTTGGAGACACCTCATTTATCAAACTCATATTTGTCAGTGACCTAAAATATATATATTTTTTATGTGTTAGCTATCACCTTTTGACCAAGGCCATATAACTGTTAAACAAAACCGCTGTTAAAAGTGCAGTAATTAAATCTGTATACATATATGAGTGTGTTAAAAGGGCGTTAAGGTGAAACCAGCTGCTGCTTGATGAATGACATGATTTTGGAGCTGTGTTTTTACCTGATGAAAAACTAGACGAGTGATAAACACTCACCATTTTTCCCACATTTTCAACCCTGGTAACAACAGTTAGCGGCTATAATAAAACCACCAGCACTAACAGTTAAAAGGAGAAGGCCTGCTGTTTAAATGGAGCACTTTGTTTTGGGGCTGGGTGTTGTTCAGAGAGATCTGCTGATGATCATCTGATCCTGCATGACTTCATATCCTAGCCTAAATATGCCCCATGAAACCATTATCACAGCATCTTCACTGTAAATAAACCATTTTTTGGCAAAGCATTTTTTTTCCCCATGCAGTGGTTATCAAAGGCACTCTGACCTTAGGACAAACATATGCTGTACATCCAGATATGAAACAAACCACTGCAAGTTTAACTTTAAACCCAACTCACCTAAAAAGATGTCAGCGACAATCAATGTGAAATTAAAAAGTGATGCACAAGACAACTACAGTATTTCCACTGCATGGAATGTTAAAGTTGGAACAAGCTGAAAATACTCCAAGGAATAAATCTAGGTAAAGTGGTTCATTGGTGTTGGCTGACATTTTTTCATTTACTTTCTTTGGCATTCCCATCTTTTGTAACTTTTGTTTGGGACAATTTGCAATACTGAGCAACCAACAGTGAACTCCTGATTCAGCATTTTTCCATCTGTCCAAGTTATGTCCAAGGGACATAAGAGGCACACTAAATGCATATGCATTAAGATCTAATTCGCTTAATTCATGCACTGATGGAAAATTACCTCATTGCTCTTACTTCAATTTTTAATATAATTGTTCTCTCCCAAAGCCAAGAACTGGAAACATGAAGTTTGATGCGGTGGTCTACACAGGGGACTTTGAGAATGCTTACTGGGATGCTTTTGTGATAACAATGCATTGTTCACATTTGATAAAACAGCACTGTTGCCCAATTTTGAGTCCTGCTAAATCAGCCAAATGTATGTACACACTATACCTCTGCAGGGCTTCAATAGCATTACATCATTACAGGCTGTTTGTTCATGTGTAAACATAAATTACAAAGAGTAACGATAATATATCTAGCTGCCTATATTAGCCCTTCTCTTGCACTGGGTTTGTTTATGAATGCTATCCATTGGGCTAAGTTCTTTTGACTTATCCTGGCTTTGTGTGGATTGAAACTTTCTGCAAACAGATTGGTACCATGGGACTTTAGACAAGCAAATCAAGTCAGAATCTGACCTTTCACCTCTGAGTAAATGGAGAGAGTTATCAACCATCCTCAGGACAGATAAGACAGGCCAACTGACAAGTGAGTCAACTGGGTTTTGGAAAAAGAAAAGTCTGCTAGTATGAATAGCTTGGAGAGGTCATGCAGAAGTCAAGTCTTGATAATCAGGCTCCAAGGGGTCATTTAACCCTGTTACATGCTCTTCCTATGGGAGATTATCTGATTGAATGTGGGAGGCTACACTGCAAGCAGTCCACTCAGATAGTGTGAATAAAAAGACACTGGAGAGCAGCTCCAGCCTCCACCCATCAGCGCTCTTCTCTCTGATAAGAGGTGCTAACCACAATCATCCAGCAGAAAGCTAGAACTAATGGAAATGAGGCATATGGTCAGCTGCTGTTGACCATGATCTTCTCTTAGTGCTTATGCAAAAAAAAAAAAAAGGAAAAGAAAAACTGACAGATGAATAGAGCCATAGGCACCATGTGTGCCCTGCTTTTAAAATTCTCTCACCTCTCTTATTTTACTGTAAGAATCTGCTCTTTTGTGGCCTTAAAAACACAACAAAACAGCAACAGGATGTTTGCTTATATTGAACCTTTTATTAGACAACTATCTAGTGGCTTTAAGTTTAGAAATGATGTGCAGAGGCACAGGAAATCCAACTCTTCTGTCCTGTCTCAACTGGTGCTGCATCAGCTCTTCTTAGATCTGTTACAAGCTAAAAACACTTTAACTCAGCTCTGATGCACTGACACGGCAGATGAGGATCCAGCTTAGTTCGAGACAGTAGATTGTAGTAGAACAACAACGTGTTTTTATGTAAAAAAGATGCCAGGTGCTTAAAAGGTTTGAAGAATGCATTCACACTGCTGTTACTAAAACTCAGTCACTTCACTCAAGCTTCTCTAAACCTTTGAACACAGTTAATCAAAACAGAAACAACTGCAGATAAGCTGCTTTTTCTTGTAAAAACTTACCAGACTCGCTGTGATGAAGACCAGATATCAGACTTTGTAGCACAGGAAGGTTTTCCCAAAACCAAGCATCTCTCTAAACTAAAACAAATTAAATCTCAGACTCTCTCTAATACAGGAAAGAGTTAATTTAAAAAAAAAAATAGTGTTCGTGATTCACAGGAGTTTCTATGATATGAATGTTAAACTCACCCGTCACTCTTGAGAGAAGCTGTTCAGTCCTCGCAGAAAGCAAACTGCAAATCTTAATCTTCCTTCCCTCCAAATTTTGAATTAGAGAAAAGGAAAAAAAGAGCACGGCATTAAAAGCAGCCTTGACTGTTGCTCTGTTGCTGCTGTGGTCAAGTCCTGAAGGGAGCGTGTGTTTGCCTGAGTATGTGTACAGGGTCTGGGGAAGAGGTGGTAACTTCCTCTGAAAGTTGGAGACGGAGCAAGTAACAGAGTTCTCTCTCTCCCGGTTCCAATCTACAAGCAGGAAAAGCTGTCACACTATCCCTCTTTCAGATGAAAAAAAGAAAGAAAGAGGAACAGCCAAAAAAGGGCAAGCTCCAAGAAGAGGGGAGGGAGGAAAGCTGTGGTGTGTGTAGTGTGGTGAGGGTGTGTAGGAGCACTGGAGAGCGGGGGTTCCCTCTGTTGTTGAGAAAACAGGCAAAACGCAACTCCAGGAATATTAGCCCAAGTTTTTCCATGCAGTTTGACAAGAAACGAAACAATATGTTACATGGTGTAAGAACTGCTGTTTTGTGGCTTTGCACTTTTTCACCCAAGCATCTAAACGTTTAATGGGTGTTGTGAATAGCTTCAGGAAAATGCTGGATTACAAATCCTAGTCTTCTTTCCCTCCAAGCTATTTTTTTAAAAGAACATTTTCTTTTATGAGGAAGAGATCAGTTCTGCTCTCAAGTGTGTTGATAGAAAACTTTGTGCAGGCCGCCGGTTTGTTTTGTGTAGTTTAAAGACTGTAAGGCAGGGAACAGCAGCTACCTAGATCTGTCACGTCTGAGTAATCTGCTTAATAACTGACATTTGAAAATGTCAAGTTGCATTGCTATGGAGAGAATACATGCTGAAATTGTTTGTTGTGGTGAATTCTAGTTCTCAGTGTATGCCTCTCAATCTCAAGAGAATAACCAAGAATACATAACATGCAATTTTTGTGCTCTAATCTTTGCACATATTAAATAAAACATGTTAATTAGTAACCTTTAGAGATGTTAGCAGACAGACCCAGGATTCCTAATTCCCCTTGTTTATACTGTTAATGCTCATATAACCTGTAGCTTAATTATATTTAATGCATATATGCGAATGCCCTTGATCTTCTATACTAAATAGAAAGTAAGTGCATCTTTCAGAATGTTAAAATCTACTTTGAAAATAAAGTTTTAAATAACTTTACATTAATTGTATTCCAGGCTTGTATGGCTGGTACATGCAGCTTAAGTAAAGTAAGCTAAAGCTTCCATTGGCTTTATTTTGACAAAAACTGATGTGGCTCAGTGTACTTACGATGCAATGACAAAGCTTAATGTTGATTTATAATTCAAAATGTGTGTTTTTGATGAATATTTGTAACTTAAAGGAGTCGTGTTACGAGATAGTGCGACTGGTAAAAGCACTGGTAAAAGCAGCCTCACACAAAACATAGTAAACATGTAATCCCAATAATATGTCAACTGCTACACTGAAGGAGTTGACATACTAATTGAGAACAGCTGCAAGATACATGAAAAAGTATCTTGCATCAGGAATTGACCGCACCACTGAGTTAACACTGGTAATAATAATGTTTTTCTCATGTTTGATTGCTGCATATCATGAACAGTATTTTTGTATTCTCAGCATGCACCGACCTTTGTTTGTCATATTTTGCAAGCACTTTAACTTCCAGCATTTTTAACCAAGCTCTGGGTTTGCCAGGTTTATTGAAGCCATATGATTGCGGGGGCAATGTGACATTTTTCATTAGTTTTGCCCATAGTCTTCATGGGAAAATATGGAAGAAAAGCTGAGAAGAGTGAAATCAAGTGTTCATTTTATCCTTCCAGAGTGTCAGTGTCAGAGCTGAGCTGTTATTGTGCTACACCCTTCTGGGACTTGAAAGAACATCCTGGTCTAGATCCCACAAATTTCGCTCGTTAACCCACGTAGTTTGGAGGCTCCAAAATCTAAGCATGCACTCACTTCACTTGAAACTGCATTTAATTTTGCACCCACTGGTCTTTCAGGATCATTGTTCCAAATCAAACATCCTCCCACCACCACTTTCTCAAGTTACTGCTTCCCCCTTTGTCTTTGGATGCAAGCAAAACAAAAAGAAAGTGGAAGGCATCTCTCCAAAAATCCACCCAGTCGTCTGCATCGATGAAGGAGGTGCTGAAGGAGAACCTGTAGCACCTTTAGTGGAAAAGCCGAGTTCCTTTACGCCAGAATTTGAATGCTTCTCTGTGCTGCATCAGCTATCACATTCCTGCCTGAATCTCCTCATAACTGGCAGATGTCCACCTGTCCCTGGGGCTGATTTACACGCCAGTACTGGGTTAGTCTGAGGAGGGTGGGTATGTTAAGGGTAGGAGACTGGGGATAAAAACAGGAAGAAACAGAAGAAGAGGAGGAGGTGAAAATGACTTAAAGATAATGAGAGCAGTCTAATTACAGAGCACATATGGCTTTAAAACAGACTTTTCCTGGATAATGTCAGACAAACCCAAACCTTCCCGTGTGGTGCTCAATATAAATATAAATTCACAGCATTTTTGGAGATGGAAACGGTGATGGGGGAAGGGAGTGTGACTAATGATTGGCAAAGGTCTGTCTGCAGGTAGGGAAGAATGAAACATAAAGTGTGTAAAGACTGTAGTGGTGGTGGTGGTGGTGGGGAGAGTTAAACAAGATAGCACTTGCTCACAAAGCTAACTGCCAGGATCAGGTCAGGCTGTGTGTTCGAGGCAGGTTTCATAGTAACAAAAGCTAACTACAGTATTTAACCTAGATTAATATTTGCAGTACATTTTGTGAGAGAGCTGCCACACCCACTCATTTTCCAAAGGTTGCCATGCACAGCCTTTGTTGGGGATCTGCACCGCAGCGAGGCAGCGTGAATGAACAGTAGATGGAAACCTCTGATGAAAGGCTTGGATTCGGGTGGCTGAAACCACAGTAGAGCAAGCGGAATAAAGAGAAGAAGTGCTTAGGCTGTTTGCACTTCTGACATCCGCAATTTTCTTAAAATGTAAATGCAAAACAATCTGTTTAGGGAACGGCTTCGTTTTTTTTTTCCCTAGTAATGCAATAATGTGATTATAGTTATGAAAGAATAATAAACCTTTGTCTTCCTGTTAGAGAGAGGGGGAGCGAGATAGGGGGAGAAAACACCACCCCTATGACTCAACAGCAAACTGAAATTAATATCCAGGGAGGGCGCCCTGAGAGAATTAGCATCATTCCTTCTTTAATCAAAAGCATACAATGACATCAAACTGCAAAGAAATATTGCAAAGAAGTAACACTGAAGCAACCATCAGTTTGAGTGAAGACAAAAGAGAAAAGAAACATTTTTAATGTATCCTCGAGTTTGTCAAGGTACAAACAACTTGCCCTTCACAAATGGCTCATTAATGCATTCGTGGATTACCTGGATTAACCTCATCAAGGTCTTTTTCATGTGCTTTCTGCACCTTTTCCAGTGCGTGAAAGCACATGCTTGTCTTTTTGGCCTCTGTGCCCCCCCATAAAAACCAATCACACTGGAGGCATCTGCTTGCAGTTGCTTCTTTATGGGACAGATGGGATCCTGAGAAGGCAGCTCCTGTGCACAGGGTTTGTTTTGTCACGAGCCTGATCTCTTTCCTGCTGTGATTTTCCACTCCCTGTTCATAAATAATAAATCACATGCACATACCTGGGCACATACACTAGAACACATGAATAGAGGTGTATAAGCACATATCGATGACTCAGTATTTCTCCACAATTACAAACAGATGGATTAGCTCTTAAGATGTATTAAATCTTACTGTTTTAACTCTGCAGATCATGCAGATATCTTTGGTCAGCAATGCTCTCAAGGAGGCTCACTGACACCAGAAAGTGGAACAGCCAAAATCTTCTGCGCATCTTTGGAAATGTTTCCACTATGACTGCAACTGTCAGGAGCCATTACTTTGTGGAATTTTACTGTTTTCAGCACATGTGTCTTCAGCCGTCTTTGTGGATATTTTTATGAAGTATTTTTACTGGAAGTACTTTAAACTATAGAAAGTCTTTCATTGGTGACAATCTGGTATGCAGATTATGTATATAATAGGTACACCTCTAAAAAGGTATGCTGTTTTTTATTTTATTTTATTTTTTTTATTGTTGTACAGTTCTTTTATTATAATAAGAAGACCATGCCAAGAAGACCATGACCTCACTTCCGGCACACCCATGGAGTGGTAAATAGAAAGGATATTAAGGAAGAGGTCTGTTTGGTATTAGGCTGGAAGCTGAGGACAGGAAATGATCCTGAGTTGTTCAGGCGCAGTCTATGCACATACTGCACACTGTTCCCAAGTTCCCAGTGCTCACGCTCACTCCTACGCAAGTCAATGGACACACAGAAGGGTTGACAGGGGTTAAATGAGTGGGGAAGGAACACAAAGATTGCAAAAATTCAGGGGAGAGATTACATAAACATCTTAACATCTTGGCAACTTGACAGTTGCATAGTTTCCCTTTCTTACTAAATCTCTTTCACTGTCTCTCTCTTTGTTTTACAGCAGTTAGTTCCCAAAATATGAAGATCTGCTTATCTTATTATGGTGAAGTTTGTGGAGCTTTTAAATAAAATACAAGACAAAATTAAAATGAGAAAATAAAGTAACAGGAGCTAAATTTCCTTCCAGAACAGAAAACATGTGTTTTCTTTGTCATGGCAGACTATTGGATTTCATAAGAAAAATAATAATCAATGCAAGTATGCAGTTCTTTGTGTGTGAAATTGATAATGTTGGAACCTAAACCTTTGCTAATATTATGCATCAGTCACTTTGCCATTTTACTTTTTCCATGCTAGCAGCAGTACTCCTGGGATACTAATGCTGTTTGTTAACCAGTTCAGATACTGGACAGAGAACAGATAGAAACATAAACACCTCTAAAACTTTCTCCGACGGTTTAGTTAGGAACAGAAACACATGCATGACAATGCACAATATTCTCCAGCTGATGAACCAGAATGCACTCTGTGTCAGTATCAAGCTCATGTTTGCCACACATGAGGCTGTGTGGGGAAAGGCAAATTCACATTCATCCTATGAGCACCAGGCAGCACACAGGGCCTAGAACAGTTTTGTCCTTTTGGGTACGTCATACCTTGGGTACTTCATATGGGTTTTCTGTGTGTGAAAACCCATATGAAGCCCATGCGGCCCATATGAGACTAACCCATTTGGGGTCCATGGCACTTTTGCCCTTTTGGGTTCCCAAGA